AGCTAAACATTTAAGCTGGCGTTCATCTATATAGAAAAAGTGTTTCACAGTCTAATTAATATATCGCATATGAACGTATAGGTAATGTTATTCACAAAACGAAAATGTTCCACCTCATGAACAGTGAGGTGGAACATTTTCATTGACGATAGTTGATGCTACTATTCAAGTCAGATTGTACTAATTAGTAACACAAAAAAGAAACAAACACAAATGAGATAGGAATACGACTATAGTGAGGAAAATGATTTCATTCGATAACGTCAAACGTCTTGAAACATGGAGAAAAATATGTTTCTATAAACAGATCGATACCAATATTCAGCAAGATGACATTTCCACACTGCAGATTCTCGTATAATTCGAAGAATTTTTGTCTCAGTATGTAACATACAGCATAAAGTTCACTGAAAGTACAAAAATGAATAATTACAAGATATTTAATAGTACTGAATTGTTTATTGTTCGATTTAGGAATTGAGATTGATGAATCTAAATTTCCCACGGAGAATTTGTAATATTTCAACATTAGTAAAACAAGAACTATTCGATAAATATCAGTTAGATCTTTTAAACCATGGAACCTGTCGATAGTTAATTCAAAAAGACTTGGTAGAGAAGATAAATAAAAAAAAACTGAAATAAGTACATCTGGATCAAGCTGACTAAGAATAAGTGATTCGAGATGATTAAATGACAAATCGATGGAATACAACGAGAAAAAATGTTTGTTTTATAATGATAAATATAAAGCAAATGAAAATATTTGATGTCTGTTGATAAGTATAGTTTGTTTGTAGGCGTTTCTATATAATTCATCAGATGGTGAACTAAGTTTTATCTTAAATAAACGAAATGAAGAATTGAGAACTTGTTGAAAACGATAATTAAGATTTGAAAATGTATTATGTATATGATAGTTATCAAGATAATCGAATATTTCATAAGAACATTCATTGGATAAATTTTCAATGAAAGTTATCGATATTCTACTTAGTATATGAAAATCAAATATAAACAGTAGATTTCTTTTTATTTATAACTTACGTCTCCTGAATATTGTCAACCTTACATCGTAACATTGTTCCTTTTTTATAAGACTGATTAGAACTTAATTTTCGTTTTACTTGACTCATATCTCTCTTTGGAAAATTCAATATGATCTAAAAGAGACATATGAAGCATTTGCATATATGTAAACCAATGTTTGATTATTCTTTGTTAACGAAAAAGAATGGCTGGATATGTATGTAGTTAACTGACCAAGTGATAATGTTCAATGCTTTTTTCCCTGTTTCTACAGAATACATCCAATGAATCATCCATTATTCTATTCTTTAGTATATATCAAATATAAAATCACCACTTACTGGATTTAGAATTGAATAATATTGTTGATTTTGTTCGTTTTTAAATGATCTAGGTTAGATAACCATTCTATTGTACTCTGAATTAATAGAATATGACCGACAAATGAGCCTCTTCTATTATCATCAAGTTGAATTTAAATAAAAAATCCAAGATGAATACATGAAAAAATTTAATAATCCATCTAGATGCAACTCTATTCACAATAAAGGAAAATAGAGATAAAAATCTCTTGAATGAACCATTCTTTCCTTAATTATAAGACGTTTCAGTTTTGCATAATTAACTCTTGTTGCATTACTTATGAAATTTTCTTTTGCAATTGTCAAATTTTCATATTGAATTTCAAAGTGAATGAGACATAGAAGATGTATATTTGTATCGAGAAGAAATTGTTCAACATAATCAATATGAGCATATTCGAGATCGAGTTGAAAAAGACGAGCAAATTCGATAATTGAAAATATTTTTTCTTTACTATATTACTGTCGTGTTCTTTTTTCATTCTGGTGTTTTGAATTGAGTACCGTTAGAGAATTAACTAATGGAAACGAATGAGAAATTCGTTTGAAAAAATCATGTTCAAATAGATCTGTGTCATCAAATATAGGTAAAGTTCGTACACTTATGAATATACTACCAGGAAAATTATTGGTTATCTTATGTAAATATTCCATGATGACTGGATATTACATTGACCTTGCCTATTTAGATGATAGTCGATATAACCATCAACATCTTGGACAAATGTACTTTGCATGTCATCAATTATCTTCTGATTTTCATCATTGATGACAGTGTGCATAACAATATCGAAAATAAATGTGTTTAGATGTGACATTTAACTGAGAATTTTCTTATTCAAATGAATGCCTTCAATGAATGTTGTTCGTTGGTAAACATCAGACATGGGCAAGTCAAGTCAAAAATGACTTGAGAACGATCGTGACTTGACTTATGACTTGGCCTTCAAGCCAAGTCTCAGGTCAACAACAACGGACATATTTTTGTAATTTATGCGTCTAATTCTTGTTTTAACTAAAATAATCTACTAATATAGAAATACTTTCATGTACTTGTGATAAGCGGTGGCTAGACGAGAATATATCGTTATTTTTTTGACTCGATTTGACTTGACTTGAACCTCAAAAACCTCTGACTTGCTCATCTCTGATAAACATTGAAAAATAATGTAAGTTTTTCTAATTGTGTCATTTGACGAAGTAATGCTAAGATTTGATTATCGTATGTTGTGATTTTAGAACGTCAAATTAATGAGAAACATCTTAAATTATGTAAACCTTTCTGCAAAGAAAAATGAAAATGAAATATTAGATATAATAACTTTGATTACCGAATTGTTGATGTTCTTTGACGCAACAAGTAAAAAATGATCAACAGTGACGATAAAAGTTTTCATTTGATACAGGTGATCATGGATAAATGATGTCTTAAATATAAAGAGTGGCTCACAAGTCCTGACTCGATTTGTATAATAATCTTTTCTTTAGTAAAACGTGTGGTGGAAAAGTTTGTTTCTAGTGAAGAAAATATGCAGAAGTCTTATAATTTCAATAAAACAAAAGTTTTTTTCGGTCGGACTTGTTTTATTTTGATCAGAAATGATTGTCCTTCTCTACCTAGCTACACGATCAAAACTTCGATGACATTTTCCGTTCCTTGCTGTGTACACTGTCGGGGTGTGTGTGTATGTGTGTGAATGTCGGTCCTTCCGAAGGGAAATGTCACATTCTCATACATCCACACCCTCAAGAAAGCAAGAACATTACTTTGATTACAAATCAGTAATATTAAAGAATTTTGTCTTTGATAATTCTCGAATATATGAAGCGAATACTTTTTATCTATTTTCGATATCACTATCCTCATCAGATTTATCCTGGCCTCGGATTACGAGTTTTTGAAAAAGTAGGAATTTGTATAGGATCAAACTTTTTTAAAATACAGGAAAGGGCATAAAAAAGAGAAAAATATAGGATATTGGAAATTCGTTGTTTAGATTCAAATTACATGTTTTTTAAAGTTTTCCTGAATCAACTGAATATGGGCAGTAAATTTTTGTCAAGATTTCATTTGACTTCTTTCTGCAAATAAATGAAATGGGTCAGGCATAAAAGAATGGTAGTGGCTATGTACACTCGAGTACACATAGCCATATGACTATGTACACTCGAGTACACATAGCCACATGACTATGTGCACTCTAGTAGGAATAAGCAATTAATTCGTAAATCTCAAGCTATACTAAAGTGTTATATATATACTGCATGATCTATATCAATGAAATATTTTTAATTATTAGAGCTTTTTTAATTTTTATTTCGTGAAAATAAATTGAAAATCAAATAGTTCAAGCAAACAAGTGTACAAAAAAGTATGACAAAGAAAACAATCAATTCAAATAAATATCAACAATTTTAGAAATATTTCTATTGCTGCCTCTCTTTGGTTTTGAGGGAAATGGTTCAATTTTATTATTCTCAATACATTGTACATAATGTTCACGTAATAATGATTGATTATAAAATAACATTGATGGAGAAGTACCATGACAAAGAGAAGTTGCAAATGCTAATGCAAATAAGCCGCAGTCATTTCCGCCAATTTGCTGTTGAACGTTTTCAAAAGAAACTAAAGCTTTTTCTTCATTAGGTAAGATCATTTTGAAAAAATCAATAATTGTTTCTTTTGGATAACTTAATGAATCATACACTTTCCAAGTGTTATTGGAACTTAAATTTGAGATCGTTAACCAATGATTTTTGTTCGCATTAAAGATAAAAATAGAATTGTTAATGGGACCAGTATATAGTTTTATTTGTGCAGGGCCACATAAACCATTAACATCTGGAAACTGTTCATGCAGCAATTCAAAAAATAAATATATATGAAAATCTGTTAACCACGTGGACTTTTGGATAACATCACGAACAGAATCAACTTTTTTGTTACGTTTATAATTATAAGTTTTAAGGTCAGGTGAAAATTGTTTATAAGTTCGTTTTTTATTAATTTTATCATCATTGTTTTTCTTGCACTTTTGCTTATAAGACACCAATGATGCTTTGCCACGTGGCCTGCCTGGCGGATTAACTACTGGTGAATAACTAAATATCATATTTTCTTTGGATAAAATACAACCAGGTTCTTCATTTGCTTCTGGTTGTAATTGTGTTTGTAATTCAGGTTGTAATTGTGATTCTAATTCAGGTTGTAATTGTAATTCTAAATGAGATTCTAATTGTGGTTGTAATTTCGGTGTTAATTCAGATTCTAATTCTAATTCTGTTGTAACTAATTCTTTTTCATGTTCTTCAAAACAAAATACTTCATAATCTTGTTGCACTTTTTCTTGACGAAGAAATTCCATTTGACATTCTTGTTGAACTTCTTTTTTAAAATCAAATTTAATATATTCTGTTGTTGGTTCATGTTTTACATCATCAGGTAAATCTACAAATATGTCTTGTTTTATTTCTCGACTTACCTGTTTAGAACAGTTGTATGTTAAAGAATTTACATAATTATATAAATCATTGTGTTTGTTTGTATTAACTAAATCTAAAACAACATTGAGAAATTTTAAATGCTCATTGAATTCCTTTGTTCCCCATTGAATAATACGAGCTGTTAATAAATCTAAACATGGCTTGACCATATTATATTTATCATTACTACTTAAAATTTTATTTTTGTCAGCAACAGTTTGGGTTATCATAAATTGTGAATCACGACTTCGTAAAGAATCAGGTTCTACGGTTTCATTTAAGTAAAAATCAACTGGATTTTTTAACCAACGTTTATTAATCGATATAATATCTTGAATTTCATTTTCATCTTCATACATTTCATCATTAAGTCGGTCAAATAATACTATTATATGACGACATGGTAATTGGTTTTGTAAAACAAATTGGCTATCACAACATAATAAATCAATGGACGAACTTCGATTAATTATACTTGAAGTAATAAAATTATTCTTTTCTTCATCTTTTTGACCGATTTTCCACTTGTTTTCTTCAATTTCTTCAATAAAATAAGATTTATGTTTTAATTCTTCATTTTGTTTACGCAACAATTCAATAGCTCTGTTTGTAATTTGATCACCAAATCTTTTAAGCAATATCGAATCATCAGAATTATAAATCTTTCTCTTTAAATTAATATCAATATGAATTTCTTCTGCTTTAGCATCTTCAACTGCTATAATTAATTTTTTAACACATTCAGATATATGCATATGAGGTGAGATACGATCTTTAAGTGTACGATTAAATCGTTCGAGATGATTGTTCGTATCTGTATTAAAATTAAAAAGATTTTTACGGAATTTTGTTTGCCACATTTCACAACAAGTAAGCCAATTCACTTCAAAATAATTGTAAAAACCTGTTTCTTCTGAATTAATTTCGATTTCTTTTAAATATATCGCTGACATATTATTATCATAAAGTAATTTGCGAATGTTTTTCATAATATTCATTCTATTAGTTAATGAAATTTTAAGTTCATGCACTCGAATTTTGAGATACTTAAGAACATGAAAAATGCATAATAATATTCGAGCTTGAGGAAAATGTTCCTGTAAAATATCTAGATTAGTTAAATCTTTATCAACCATAATCACTTGCGTTTGTGTTATATCATTATCTTCACAAATAGCTGAATAAAAAAAATGTAGATTATCTTTATTTCCAGTTGTGATTAAGCAATAGGCAACCGGTACACCTTTTAAACCAGCATTTTGAACTAAGCAAATGTATAATTGATAGTTCTCTATATTTATTTTAAATGTTGAATCTAAATGTAAGATATTAGAATATTTATTAAACCATGTTTTCATTGTCATAGTCTGAACATATAAACATTCTAAAGTACCATTTTCATTAATTTTTATTTTTATTGAATTATCTGAATTTTGATTTAAAATATTATCGATCCATGTATGTAACAATTCTGAATCACTTTGATTTCCAATTAAGTTAAATTTTAGCTTATTTTTAATATTATTAACATCTTTTCGTGTTAAATTAATGTCGAATTTTTCATGTATTAACTTACGATTATTATATGTTGAAGTATTGGCAGTAATAAGCATTTTACATAAATCATATGCTGCTTCATTTTCTTGCAATTCTTTATTTCTTATAAAAGAATAATTCTTGTAAATTAATTTTCCTATCGAATGATTATGAGTTAAATTTTTGTTCTTCATAAAAACAATTTTATTTAGTTCGGTATCATGTTTTATTTTAAAATAGAATTCACAATCAATGCGAGCAGATTCTTGATTCGGTCGTGATCCATTCTTTGTATTTCTTCTAATAGGACCGCCATGATGACATACATATTTTATACTTGAATACCGAAAACGATCAAATAATTCTTTCATTGTTTTTTCATTATATTTAATTGAGTGACGTTTAACGTTCACCGGTTGATAGTAATCATTACGCCAGCTTTTAAATTCTATTTCAAAATCCACCCAATTGTCAAATTGCTTGGTAAAGAAAAAATCTTTATGTTGATCCATGTAATAACGGAAAAATATTACTAAACTACTTAATAGTTGAAGAATATTAAAACAAGGATAAACTCTGGTATACTTGTGAGAGCAAATGCTTGATCGAATTAATTACTTGGGGTACAATATAACGACCTAATCGAATTTTTTGAAATAGAGTGTAGGAATGAACATAATCTATCTTTTTACCGGTGTTACTTTCTTTAATGATTAATACAAGAAAGATTACATATACATTGTTCTTTAATTTTCAAGAATTCACGAACAGCAATAGAGAAAGATTCAAGTGAAAATTAATTAATGTATGTCAATTTAGAGTGTCACTCTATGTTAACAGATAATTGACGTTTTGTGTCTTTCAATTTTCTATTTTGTAAGCCAATTAATTAGGAACAAAAATATATAATCTTTTGTTCCTTCGTACCAATGACCAAGAGAAAAAAAATTGACTCGTAGACAGCGAAAAAGTTATTTTAGCACTTTTCTCGTTCAATGCATTGAGCATAATAAAATTGAACCATTCTCTTCAAAGCTCAAGAGAAACAGCAATAGAAGCATTTCTAAAATTGTTGATATTTATTTGAATTGATTGTTTTCTTTGTCATACTTTTTTGTACACTTGTTTGCTTGAACTATTTGATTTTCAATTTATTTTCACGAAATAAAAATTAAAAAAGCTCTAATAATTAAAAATATTTCATTGATATAGATCATGCAGTATATATATAACACTTTAGTATAGCTTGAGATTTACGAATTAATTGCTTATTCCTACTAGAGTGCACATAGTCATGTGGCTATGTGTACTCGAGTGTACATAGTCATATGGCTATGTGTACTCGAGTGTACATAGCTACTACCATAAATCAATCAAAGTATCAAAAATATCTTGTACAGACCTTTCTTCTTTTCTTCCTGCGTTTCGTTTATGAACGCATGATAAAAACAACTCATATATAATTTGAAAGAGGAGAAAATTTCTTAACAGTTGATAAAAAGATTATCGTTCCAACACGTATTTATAGAAGAGATATAGTAGTCGACATTTTGTGTCGTTATTGTGAAATATTCAAAAAGTGTAGAACTATTTTCAGGGTGTCTCTATTTCTTCTCATGCCGTTCTGTTTATGAGTCTCTAATAAAAATAAGTCATATATGGTTCGATAGAGGAGAAAATTTCCTATCGAATGGTAAAAGAGTGTTACTTTCCAAACTCATGTCTATGAAGAAAAAATAAGGGTCGACAAATATGCCATTACTTATGCATCGTACGTTATTTGACCTTTTTTTATTGACTGTGAATAAATTTATTAACTGATCTTAAAAATTTAATAATAAACCTGATTAGTTAATAAATTACAATTTAAGTAATTCACTGATAACTTATTTGATTTTACTGATCATTTCATTCCTTTTACCAATCATTTAAATGGTAGTCATTCTTAATTTTTACTCGTCGCATCATACGTGCGTATCACTTCTCATAGAAACTGTCAAAAGATTTTCAATAATCTCATCAATTCAATTGTGTTCACACTTCTCCCGAATCATGTCTTGTAAAAACTCTTCAAGAAATAAAATCAACTATCTCATAGGCATATGCAGAATCTTGGTTGAATTTGAAAAAGATATTTTTCTGTGAAGCACAACTCAATTAACAAAACAATAGGCAATTCATGTTTTGTATTCCTAGCAGAAAGTAGGCATGCACCGAGCGCGAACTTCCCGGGTTTCGGTATTCCCTGGTTCGGTCATTCCCGGGGTTCCGTCGTTCTCGGAGTCCAATCGATACTAAGTTTGGGCTCAATCCAAATCTTGTCTTCAATCTTACACAGTTTCAATAGTATATAGATTCGACTAGGGAACTTCTACCAAAGGTAAATCAGAGTCGGGAAATCCGAATCTGAAGTCAAATTTTGAAAATTTTGAATTGGATTTTTTCGGTTAGGGGAACAGTTTTTCGAGAAAATAGCTGTATTTCATAAAGGTTGACGAAAGTAAATCGAGGTCGAGGAATTCGAATCTGAAGTCAGATTTTAGAAATTTTGAATTGGGTTTTTCTGCCAAGGGACGAGTGTGGAGCATGGGTGTGGGTGTCATTCTTCTTGTCACCCACACTCGACACTCACACTATAAAAGTTTCATGAACGATTTCTGATTGAAAATTAGTAGTAATCTGCTCCGAACCGCGACTAATTTTGGGTGTGGATGTGAATGTCTGTGTGGGTGACAACAAAAATGACACCCACACACCACACTTATCCCTCACCGAAAAAATCGAATTAACAATTTTTAGAACCTGACTTCAGATTCGGATTCCCCGACCCTGATTTGCCTTTGGTAGAAGTTCCCTAGTCGAATCTATATACTATTGGAACTGTGTAAGATTGAAGGAAATATTTGGATTGAGCCCAAACTTAGTATTGATTGGACCCCGGGAACGACCGAACCACGGGAACGACCGAACCCGGGGAACGACCGAGCCCGGGAATGACAGAACCCGGGAATCCCGGACCCAGGATTCCCGATCTATTCCCGGGTTTGGTGAATGCCTAAACATATTGTATGTTTCGATTAGTAAGATATGAGCAGTATAAATATTAGTTTCAGTTCAAATTAAATTAGCAAATGATAAATCTATCTCAAATGCCATTAGATTTCATTTAAAAATATTGATTGAATATTATTTATTGTTCAAACTCAGTTGGCTTAATTCGTTTCAGACAACACAGAGAGTTCTGACATTCCTCAAGCTTTTGTCCACAAAAGAGATGAGATCTTGACAAACCGATATCAGAGTAGTTATCTACTTCCAAGGTACTTTCATTTTATACTGTTTCCAGACCGAGGAAAAATCCATGATTTTCGACCGGATCCTTCAATGTTTATTATCAATTAAAGATATTCGTTTACACCAGAATAAATTATATTATTGATGTGTTATAGTATCGTCGCTATTGTCTCGCGTTTCTTTATGTTCTATTTGTTGTTCTTCGTTTTGAATAAAAAAAGTGCTCAGATCATAAATGATGTCTTATTCCTGATGATGATCTTACTAATATGGTCGAAAATTCCTAGCACATGTAAAACTGAAACTAACTGCTATTTTTCATTATTATAATATATGATTATTATTATTCAAGTTGTAATTTTTTCAACAGTGCACCCAAAAAGAAACGAATGATAGAATATTAAAAGAATAGAAGATGAATGTACGTAAGTTCATTTAAAACAAACGAATGATGCGGGAAATTTAACAAAAGCACATAGAGACGAGGCCAAGATCTGAAAACATGGCATCAGCTGGAATAGACTGCATCTTCCTGTGAAATCAGTTGATCTCACTCGTTTGTCGCTTGCAAAATTTTGGCTTCACTCGCTCCATGTCCACCGGTGCCCACACTATGATCACCTTGCGCATTTTCACGGCCCAATTTGGCACCTCGCGCTGCCGGATCGGAATCCATGCCAGGATGTAGTTCCTCTTCGGTGAACTGCAACATATCCGTCGAGTGCTCACCACCGATACGTTGTCGGCTGCCTAAAATAGTGTCCACATTGAAATTGAAAGAAATTTTGAGAGATATTAGTCGACATACTACACCCGCTGCTTGTGCCGTGACCACCCGTGCCTACACTGTAACCACCATAGGCATTATCTTCGCCTAACTCTTTGCCACGCTCAGCAGGATCAGGATTCATTCCTGGATGCTGCTGCTCTTGTGTGAGGTGCAATTCATCTGTCGAGTGTTTACCACCGACACGTTGTCTACTACCTAAAGCAATGTTCACATTGAATTGAAAGAATGTTTGAGAGATAGAGGGTACTCCATAAGTATCGGCCCCATTTGTATTTATTTATTATTATCTTTGCCAGATTTAAAGGTGAATGGCTGTTGACGATATAATTTAGAAGTGTAACATCTAAGATATCACCCAAGAGAAATTGGCCTCAATTTGTATCAACTCAAAGAAAACACTTCATTGGTGAAAATATCGAAAAACGTTTTTCCAAGTTATTTTTTTTGAAGTGGTTGAACGTTACGAAATTTCATTTTTCCGTCTTCGGATGGCCGTACCTACATGAAGATAAGAGCAAAGACCCTTAAATCCATATTGTAGATTTTTCACAGTTATACCTACCATCCATAAAAGTTTAGTTCATTTTGATCTAGCCAAACTTGAGTTATTCTTGAAATACTGACCGTTATACAGTATCAGTTTTTTAGATTCCGTCGTGGGCAGTATTTCAAGAAAAGCTTGACTTTGGCTGGATCAAAATGAATGAAATTTTTATAGATGGTAGGTCTGACTGTGAGTAATCTACAATGTAAATTCAAGGGCTTTTACTTTTATCGTCGTGAAGATACGACCCACCAAAGACA